TATATATATAAACATTTGTTATCGTATAATTTATATAAAACAATATTAACCATTTTTATGTCCATAATAAAAAAAGAATGTAAAAATGTAAGTGGCCAGATTAGTCCTAGAGTTATAGTCAAGCTCAACGACACATACTGAAATCTGGCCTGGGTCTGTAGACTTGAATGACTTCCTGAGCACCAATGTAAACAATGTAGTGGTTTCACATGCTTCTCGGGCTATCCATGTCTGATTTGCAGAAGAAATCCCCCGTTGTTTACAGAACTTAATACATTGGGGTGAAATTTAAATACATCTGAATGAGTCAAAAGAGTGACTCCTCCCCTTTCCAGAGGCCTGTGGAGTGTCAGTTAGAGAGAGGCAGTCCGAAAGCAAACATGTTCTGCTGTGATGTCACTTTAGAAAAACAATAGTGCTCTGTGAATCCAGTACCACTAGCTCCCCCTGTATATCAAATGTTTATGTGATAAATTTGATCTAAATAACAGATCTAAAACGTATTTATGTTTAAGAAATGTTCCTCTTAACCGTAGATTGTGAAGGAGGCGTACACCGACCACACTCAGTTTGACGCCAAGAATCCTCATTATGATGCTTCTAGCACCCAGGACAACCCAAGGTGGTCCATGGTGAGTGAGGGGGGCCTTGTTATCTAAATAAAGTTTAAGCACACTTAAAGTAGAACTCCATCGAGTGTGGATAGGTCAGAAACTGTGTTTGCATCAGGAACATTTTATGTCCAGAGACACAACTGCAGGAGAGGGTGGGGGGTGATTTGGAGCCCAGAGATCATCAGCTTGAAAGATTTTGGATTGCCCATCATTTTCTGACCTAACGATAACGTATAATACCCATGGTGGACCTCGCAGCAGGTACATAGCAATGAATACCTGACGGGGTATCTATGCCTTTCCCGACGGGGTATCTATGCCTTTCCCGACGGGGTATCTATGCCTTTCCCGACGGGGTATCTATGCCTTTCCCGACGGGGTATCTATGCCTTGCCCGACGGGGTATCTATGCCTTTCCCGACGGGGTATCTATGCCTTTCCCGACGGGGTATCTATGCCTTTCCCGACGGGGTATCTATGCCTTTCCCGACGGGGTATCTATGCCTTTCCCGACGGGGTATCTATCCCATCCCTGACGGGCTATCTAGCCCTTCCCTTCCCTGACGGGCTATCTAGCCCTTCCCTTCCCTGACGGGCTATCTAGCCCTTCCCTTCCCTGACGGGCTATCTAGCCCTTCCCTGCTGTTCCCAAAACATTTAACATCCGGGAAAGCTAGCACTGTATGTAATTTTGCAATGGTGCCTATTGCCCTCTGTCTGCAGAGATTTCAGGTGGCAGATGCGTGTTGATTCCTCAGCTGACTCCGGCTTGTCTCTCACAGGTGGACGTGCAGTTTGTACGGATGCTGAAACGCTACATCCCTCTGGCAGAGCTGAAGCAGCTGCATCAGAAGCACAAGGCGTCGGGTGGGCCGCTGCGAAACATGGCGCTCTTTACCAGAGCGCGGCTCTCTGTACAGCCCCTCACACAAGGTGCAGTGTTCTGTGCTAGTAGTATGGGCTTTGGATCAGTTTCCTTTTAGAAATGTGCTGGCATGGAGCCTCACCTAATGAGAGTTTGTGAATCTGTACCTGTAAGTAGCAAGTTCATTTTTAATGGCATCCCCGGCAGCTGCCTATCTATGCTCAGCCTTCCACATTGCTTGTGGGGGTGAACCGAGGTGTAAACGAAGGCAAATGACTTGCTTCCCATGACATCCCCGGTGCTAGTGTGGCCAATCGGCAAACAGCAGTGCCGCCACTGGGGAGTAAAAGGAGTGTGGCATGTACCGCCTCCCAAAGCACCAGGTGTTGTATTTTGCTTTCCCACTGAGCAAATAGAGAAGTGGGGTCATTATAAGCAGCTGCAGGTGTTGCCATTGCCAAGTAAATCTGTAGACTTGCCCTGAAAAAGCAAAGCACGAGAGAACTATGAGGTGAGTGAAAAGCACTCACCTCATAGTTCTCCTTTTAAGGGGAAGATTCAGAAAATGTCACCCCCATGTGTGGTGGAGAGGTCAGGCTTTAATAACTAGGCTGATCATTACAATTATCCGCTAGTACATCCCCCCTCCAGGTGAGCTGGCAGTTATTAGTTTGTGTCATGCCGCCATCTTGTGGACTCCCTATGGAAGTGCATGCAGAACCTCACAAAGCACAGGAGGGTGACACCACTAGGTCAGTGCAAAGGGAGATCTCCCATCATTGTGTTATTTAAAAAAAAATCCGTAATCAAACCCTCCACCTTGACACCTCCTAAAGTAGATTTGGTGGAATTTTATTTTGAAGCCCAATCCAGCCTATTCGACAGGTCCCCACAAAAATGAAAAAAAGATCTGTCTGCAATACTCGCCTCTTCTCCGGCGCTGTCCCCACAGTAATCCCTTTTGATCAATGTATAATAAAGTGCTTCTATCTTTTTTTTGCTCCTTTTCCCCTGACCGGACCTAAGCTGACCCACCTTCCCCTTCCACAGCTGCATACTACTTCGATCCGACTGCCGCGGTTCCCGTTTACATTCAGAGCCACACGTCTTTACTGGCATGGCTGTGCTTGCACATTTCAGCCCCTTTTGACTTCCATGGAACCATCTCTGACTGTCATCGACCTCAGACCGCAGCCCCATATGGGGCACCAATGCACAGACGCAATCGGGATGGTGAAGACTTGCCGTGCTGGATGTAAACAAACACTGGAGGCCATGCCCGTTGGTGTTTGTTTACATCCAGCATCTGTGGAGGGCGAGGGGTGGGTTAGGTTAGATCAGGGGTAGCCAAACTCCGGCCCTGCAGCTGTGGTGAAAGTACAAATCCCATGATGCATCTCTTTCCGGGAGTCGTGGTTGTGAGAATCTTGCAATGCCTCATGGGATTTGTAGTTCCACCACAGCTGGAGGGCCGGAGTTTGGCTACCCCTGGGGTAGATCAACGGAAAGGGGCAAAAGGATAAATGCACCTTGTTTTTAAAGTGCTCCTACCCTTTTCCAAGTTAAAGGAGAACTATGGGGTCAGGGCTTTTCCCCATAGTTCTCCTTAGGGTAACGGGAGGACACAAACTTGCGTCCTCCTGTCACCCTAAGCTCAGTATATAGAGAGCTGTAGCTCGCGGTATACTGAGGCGCCGCAGCCGGAAAAGATCCCGACAATTATGTGAGTGTGAGTGACAGCTGACTCGGCCTATCTAGAGGCAGAGCCAGCTGTACCCGCCCCCTCCCCCGTCCGTTCTGCCAGTCAACACTGGCGGATCGGGGAGGGGGGAATTCAGCCCCTCCCCTGTCACGGCTCTCTGCAGGGACAGGATCGAGAAGTGAGCGAGCGCCGGTATGTGTTCGCTCACCTCCCGATCTACTGAGCCGACCTGTGACAGTCTCATTGTCACAGGTCGGCTAGAACTATGAGGTGAGTGAAAATCACTCACCTCATAGTTCTCCTTTTAAAGTGTATATTAGATCTTCGTGATCGGGTTTAGATCTACATTAGGAAATGAATAAGCTCATTTTCTGGCATTTAAAAACTAAACAGAACATTTATTAAGTTAACGCACCCAGCTGCGCTTGCACATTCACCCAAGCGGTGTTCTTCCCCAACCTAGACATGCTTAATATGCAGGTAGTGACTTTGTACTGTTTTACCTCCTGGCACATCTCCCCACCCCCGCAATTCATTGTGTGAGCTGTTCTCCATAGGTCACTACCATGGTCTGTTCCAAGGCTGCTGATAAAAATATGTCTGTCACGCATAATGATCGTTTTACATTTATACAGCTCCATGCCGATAACGCAGGATTCTTTTTTTTTTTTTCTACCTTTGCAGAAGAGTTTGACTTTGTCCTGAGCCTGGAAGACGAGAAGCTCTAGCAGAGGTCACAATGGGAACTCACACTCCGGTTTATGGATATGTTTGGGGCTCCGGTACAACTATTAGCACTTGTATAGTATTTGTACTTTTAAATACATTTTGTTATCTTTCTGTGTGATGGTCTTCAATGATTAAAAGGATGTTCTCTTAGCACACCTTATTCCTTTACCATACGCCGGCAGTTCAAGCAAGTCTGCAACTGTAACGTTTCACCTTTTTCTTTGCTTTTAAAGGGATGCACCGATGCTAGTATTGGTGCTGATCCAGAGTATTTGGGAGCGTACTCATACTCACCCAAATGCTCCGATACCGGAACTTCCGGTCAGAGGGAAATTTCCTCTGACCAGCAGTGCCGCGAGGGAACATGGAGCCGGCTTCCCAGTCAATCAGGAAGCCCGGCAGTGGGTAATTATTCACCACCCGGCTTCCTGATTGGTCCGGATGCCGGCTCCATGCTGTTTTGCCGTCGATGCTGATGGACTGGGAAAGCCGGCATCCTGGCCAATCAGCATGGAGCTGACCACCAGGGCAATCAAGAAGCCGGGTGGCGGGTAATGGCACTCCGCCAGGCTTCCTGATTGCCCGGGAAGTCAGCTCCATGCTAGGGAAGTACCAGTATCGGTACTCTGTATTGGCGAGTACCGAAAGATAAATATCGGTCCTGAAAAACTGGTATCGGTGCATCCCTAGCTTTTAGGCTGGGTTCACACCTAGGCGTATTGAATATGCGTGTTTGTCGCGCGTTTTTACCGCGATTCGTTTGTCGTGCGTTTCCGAGGGCTACTTGGCTGCATCTCAATGGAAACGCGAGACCAAAACGCCCCAAAGAAGTACATGTACTTCTTTGGGCGTAGGCCGTTTTGTAGCGCGTTCAGACGGGCTGAAATACGGAAAGGTGTGAACCAGACCCATAGAAAACAATGGGATTTTCAAGTTTGTATGTTTTGTAGAGCGTTGAACGTGCGACAAAACGTAAAGGTGTGAACAGGGCCTTAATGTTCTCGTAGAGCTGGATTGGTATCATCAAAGCTCCTGCCTCCTTCGAGGGGCTGACAATTAATATGCATTACTTACAGCACCCCTGTATGTTCAGTCTTATAGCTGACCTCGGCATGCCCCCTTCCCCTTGTTAATTGCTTGTTTAGCCTAAAAAATCCTAAGCTAAAAGCCCAATATACTTATCAAATCTGTGGTCATGTGATGTGCTGGTTCCCGAGTCTTCTATCCCTTTCAGTGCAGAGGAGGCGGGTCTTTCTTTGGGTGCCCACATCGCTGCCTGTGACACTTCCTATTGGCTGTCCATTTTACAGCAGGAGTTTGCCCATGTCTGCTTTATAAAGACTTCTCTGCATACCACCCCTCTATTCTTGACAGTTTTCCCCTTGGGAAAAAAAAAAAGGGGCAAGTTGTCTCTTGAACATTGTCTGACTGTGCAGGGCTGACACTGAATTACCAGTGGCCCTAATGCATCATCGGCCAGTATTGGGAAACAGGAAGTAGGAGGTTGGACACAGAGGACAAGGCTTTGTTTAGACACATTGGTCAGAGAGCTTGGCCAGGAGAGTTCTCAATGAGCCGATTGCTGGCATAATCAATAAGGTATAGCCAATTATAAGAGCCGGTCGGATCATAAGAGTAATAATTGCACGGCTTGAGTATTTTTTTTTAATCTGATACTAATTAAAAACAATTAAAAATAGACATTTAAAACACATTGAAATTATAGACATGAAAAAACACTGCAACCAGAATGGAATTCCTTTAATAGTCCTTCTTGATCGCAATGAAGCGAGCGTTAAAGCGGAACTCCAGCCAAACGGCGAATTACATGCGTGATCAGCTTAAAATCATCATAATGCAGTTCAGACAGGTTTGCGATGTACAAACCCCTAACAATGCATGGCCAGTAGGTGTTTCTTATTACAGCTTCCTGTGTCATTTGTATGCTCATTGGACATACAGCTAAGCTCCTCCTATGCTTTCCTCCTCCATGGCGCCTGCAAGCTGTAGGTTCCTTTTCCACCTGAGATGTAGCAGTGGCACCTCCTAGTTCTAAGAATCTCACGTTAATGATCGGGAACCAATCAGCTTGGTTTCCAGATCTATGGCAGACAATTGAGGTCTGCCATCGAGATCTGGAAACTCTGGAGAACCTGGAATTGAGGTCTGCCATCGAGATCTGGAACCTCTGGGGAACCTGGAATTGAGGTCTGCCATCGAGATCTGGAACCTCTGGAGAACCTAGAATCGAGGTCTGCAACCTCTGGGGAACCTGGAATTGAGGTCTGCCATCGAGATCTGGAACCTCTGGGGAACCTGGAATTGAGGTCTGCCATCGAGATCTGGAAGATGTAGCAGCGGCACCTCCTAGTTCTAAGAATCTCACGCTAGCGATCAGGAACCAATCAGCTTGGTTTCGGATCTCGATGGCAGACAATTGAGGTCTGCCATCGATATCTGGAACCTCTGGAATTGAGGTCTGCCATCGAGATCTGGAACCTCTGGGGAACCTGGAATTGAGGTCTGCCATCGAGATCTGGAACCTCTGGAGAACCTAGAATCGAGGTCTGCAACCTCTGGGGAACCTGGAATTGAGGTCTGCCATCGAGATCTGGAAGATGTAGCAGCGGCACCTCCTAGTTCTAAGAATCTCACGCTAGCGATCAGGAACCAATCAGCTTGGTTTCGGATCTCGATGGCAGACAATTGAGGTCTGCCATCGATATCTGGAACCTCTGGAATTGAGGTCTACCATCGAGATCTGGAACCTCTGGAGAACCTGGAATTGAGATCTGCCATCGAGATCCGGAAACCTTACAAACAAACCTCCCCGCTACAGCTGTCACTTGTGGCCCTCTCTATGTACTCCTTCAGCTCCCAGTGCCTGTAGCATGTTAGACTGAGCACTGCAGTGAAACCTGAATGGCTTGAAACGCACAGCTTCCCACGACGCACTCCAATTTCTGCAGAGTGTGGGGCTGTGGGAAGATAATACAAAGACTGATTTCAGGCAGTTATAGTAGCTGCACTTAACGATCACAGAACTGGGCTGAAGGGTTCCTTTCAATGTCTTTGGTCGGAGTTCCGCTTCAACGTTCGTCTTCCTAATACTCCAATACGTTTCTAAAGGTGTTGCGCCGCCGAAACGCAGCACAGTCCCTACGCGCCCTGCTCCCAAGAGCTTACAATCTAAGCTTGGTATGTGAGGCACAGCCATGTATTAAAAGTGCAGTCTCTCTTACTGACGAATACATCAATTACCATCTAATAAATATATATTATTTCTTTACCAGTCGGCTATACTTGGTATAGAATTGAAATACTGTAGAACACAAATTGCTGAATTGTCAATACGATAATTACATTGTACAGGAGGGATGGCTGTCAATACTGCTGCCGCCACCATCTTGGAAATGTACCTGTTGTATACATAGCAAGGCTTCTACGACAACGCACAGCTGGTGGGCAAAGTGTAGCAACCCGCATTTCCCTCACAGCGGTCAGACCAACAAAGAGCTGAATTCTGATTGGCTGCTACGGGTTACTGCACTTTACCAGCGGCTGCACCGGTTAGGACAGTCAGTTTGTGATTGCAGTAATATTCATGGACGAGGGAGTCTGTCTCTTTAAATAATAAGACCCATGAGGAAATGAGGGGTGGCATCTACATCCAGGGAACATGATTATCAATTAAAACACCACAGAAAGCATTGGTCACAAATGGGGGTAAGCTTGGGTTTGTTTGGGCTAAACCTGGAAGTTAGGATTTAGTGCACGCCCAATCAGCTGCTCCAAGGGCATTCCCTACATGTAAACAAAGGAGGGGAATACCGGTGACATCATTGACCTTATATGGCCACATTAGGTCAATGACATTGGCCATAAGGTCAATGATGTCACCAGCACCCCACCTCTGTCTTTACATGGTGGGAATGTCCTAGCCACTGCTGTTCGGCTGTGCACTGGCACCTAACTTCTGAGTCTGAAGTCAGGAGAACCTACTTCTGTGATGCACAAGCCAGATCCTACAGTGCTTAGGTTTCTGGTCATGTGACATGAGGAACTCCTTTTGGGCCATGTGACCTGCAATATCACTGCATTGTTTGCGGACAGCCGTAAAGCCTTTGTGCACATGAGACCCTATAATGTAATTTCACGCCAGGGATACACAGCTGCTGCTGCGTACAGCCATCCATAGTAATGAATGTCTGTACACAGCTTTATGCTGCAACGTGGCGCAAAACCTGCATATGCGTACAATCCTGGATGCATACAGTCTGTGTGCAGGGGCTTCTGGCTTTATGGTTCCGCAAGTTTATCGGTAACAAATTCATACACAGCCATTCATTACTATAGGAGGCTGCACACGGCAGCCGGGTATCCTGGGCATGCGAATACGCTCACAGTTTCTGCTATGTGGCCTCTTGTGCCCATGGGCACGATACTTAAAGTGACATTAAACCCTCAGATTTTTTTAACATAAACCAATACTGTAATGTGCGCCTTACTGTAATCCATGGTTGTTTCCCTTCTCTTTGCTGCTCTTCCTTTTAAATCTGTATCTCTTCTCATGCTGGGCAGAACTTCTGTTTTGCAGCAGACTGCCTTGTCTCTGGAATGGATACATGGTGTCTGTGTGCAGGTTCACAACCTGAGCCAGCACTACAGGAAGAGGCACTCAGCTGCAAAGGGAAGTTCTCCCCAAGCAGGAGAAGACATGAGGATTTAAAAAGGAAGAGCAACAAAGAGAAGGGAAACTACCATGGATTACAGTAAGGTACACATTACAGTATTGGGTTATGTAAAAAAATCTGAGGGTTTAATGTCACTTTAAAGATGCTTCTCATGTGGCTGCCATGTCTTCAAGTCACATGATCTGGAACCAGACCACAGTGAGACCTGGCAAGTTTGACTTCCCGACCATTTCTTTCACATCTAAATTTTCCAGATGAGATCTTCAATAATAACAGCAGTGTACAAAATGACTGTGTGCGATGCAAACTGTATACGCCCTCCGGTATATGGAGTCCTCCATTGAAGCTTGTTGGTGTTAGATAGAGCACTAGTAAAACGAGAAGTTCGAGGGATCACACCTGTAGAAGTCACAGATCGCACCGATCCGAGGACGGCGTGTATGCCAAAGAAAAAAAGTTTACGTAGCGCTAAGCCGTGGACCGCTATTTCATGCCGCTACAAAAGCTATGGCTGATTCAGACGTTGGTCCTGTCCCACCTGAAGAATTCACGAGGAAGAATAGAAAATCCAGTTTTCCTGGAAGCTGAAATGGAACCGGACTCGGATTGTCGGCGAGCGTAGGAGAAGGGAGGCTTCGCCAGTGAACTTGCTCATTGTATTCGAACCAGGGCTGGCTCTCTGTCTGTCTGGCTGGAAGGTCAATCTCGGTTAAGTATCTACTTGCAAAACAATCGAATTGCAACAATCTCCGCCCATGAAAGGAGAAGCAACTTGGCCGACTACAGTTGGTGCTTTGCTAGTGCACACTGCTATCAGCTTGTTTTGTTGCCTGCTACTCACAGAACGCTGGTGTCGGTGTAGACCGGGGGTAGCAAACTAGAAATTGCCTCATGCATCTGCCTCTAGAAGTCCAAAATCCAATGTACCCATCGCACTCCTGACCGAATAATACCCTTAGGGCCTGTTCACATGAGTTTCAGATCCTGATCAGGTCCGGATCTGCAGGCGCGGTGCTACTGATGCAGTGCGTTTTGGCCGTGTTTTTGATGCGTTCCAGTAAAAAAAAATCTTTTTTGTTTTGTTTGCTGGAGTGGGGCTGTTAGTATGTTAGCTGCAGTGCGTTTTTGACGCGTTTTCTGACCGTACAAAATGTGACATGCAGTATTTTTTTGTCGTAACCTAAACGGACTGCGCACGTGAGAACTGTAGCCCATAAAACACATAGGGATACATTTTGAGTGCAGGAGCGTACGGATCAGGTCAGCACACAAAACGGACGTCGTGTGAACAGGCACTTAGAGTCGGGTGGGTGCCAAAGTGACTGCAGATGCCTCTGCAATCCAAGATGAGTGTATGTATAAAGTCACTCGCACTCCAATAGAATTTTAGGTCAATTGACTCGATTGCTATCGCATCATATAGCGACGTTTTAAAAACAACAGCGGTTCCTTCTTCAGGCACACACAATGTTAGCCTGAAGAAGGAACCGCTGTTGTTCCCGAAACGTCGCTATATGATGCGATAGCAATCGAGTCAATAGACTGTTGAGTCTATTGGAGTGCGAGTGACTTTATACCTACACTGCCTCTAGAAGTCATCCCTGTGGCTGTCAGTCTTGCAATGCCTCATGGGATTTGTAGTTCTGCTACAGCTACGGCCCTCCAGCGGCGGTGAAGCTACGGCCCTCCAGCGGCGGTGAAGCTACATGTTCCCTCATGCATCTGCCTCTGGACGTCATGCCTGTGGCTGTCAAGAGTCTTGCCATGTCTAATGGGATTGGTAGTTGCACCCCAGCTGAAAGGCCGGAGTTTGCCTATCCCTGATTTAGGGTCTACACTGACACCAGAACTCCACAAGCAAACAAAGCTGCAAGAGGTATTATACACACACACAACATTTAGGCCTCATTCACACACGAATCGGCCTGCACGTACAGCTCCGTGTGGGGCCGTACCAAGTAGCTGCCGGGAAGGACAGGTGCTGCGTGTGATTAGAACACAGCCCCCGTCCTTCCCTATGGGGCTACGCGGCCATACGCCCCCCTACGCTCACCTCATTTGCAGGTCCGTAGGGGTGCGGGTTTTCTGGCCGGGACGCATACATGTTCCATTCCGGCGGCGTATGAATATGATCACCCGCACCCCTACGGACCTGCAAATGAGGTGAGCGTAGGGGGGCGTACGGCCGCGTAGCCCCATAGAGAAGGACGGGGGCTGCGTTCTAATCACACGCAGCACCTGTCCTTCCCGGCAGCTACTTGGTACGGCCCGCACGGAGCTGTACGTGCAAGCCGATTCGTGTGTGAATGAGGCCTTAGGGGTGTATTTATAAACAATTTGCCAAGCTGTTGTCTTGCACAATTGTGTGTACATTAGTTCTGTGCAAATGGAGGCAAAAAGAATGCTATTAGCATATTTCCTTCCCAGAATGTAATATCAGCAAAATGCAACGTTAGCTGGAGCGGAGGAACATAAGAAATACATATTTATGCTCATCAGCTCCGTCCAGTGGCCATAATGTGGTATTGACCCGATATTACATTCAACCTGGAAAGAAAGCATACTAATAACAACTGTCTCAATTCACACAGAATGAACGTACATGCAATCTTGCAGGATGAATAGCTTTGCGAATTGTTTATACATGCACCCCATAGTGTAAGCCTAAGCTGAATCCGGCTCGGACAATGCTGACTGCATAGAGCCCCATCCGGCTTACCAAACGTTTTGCAACCCTTGTTGGGATTGTCTGATTGCGCATGCACAGCCAGTTGAATTGAGAGTTTTCGGTCAAGAGCAAAAGGCAAGTTGGTAAAGCAGGTTAAAGAATTGCTCGTGTGTCTCAAAGCAAGAGTCAGCTCGGCCGTAGCTGCACACAAGCAGAGGGCACAAACCATCACCAGACCACTGGAAGCTGGCCAAGGCAAGTTGATTAACAGGAAGTGGCAGCTACAGAAATCTTGAATATCTCCGGGAGTACTTACGTTACATCTCGCTGAACCTGGAGCATATCGACATGCTACCTCAAACCTTCCCAGGGCTGAATCTATTCTAATACTATCATGAACCAAGCAGCTGGCTCTGATGCACATTTAGTTTTTTTGGGAGTTGGACATGTTTGGTTACTAATGCCGTCCATTGTCCATTGCGTGTGATTTAAAGGAGCAACATTTAAAAAGGTTTTTCTTCTCTTTCATTTCTCCTTTTTAGATGGAGTTCCGATTTCCTCTTTTGTTGTATAAAAGTCACATCATATGAACATTTTGGAATCATGGGAAGGAATTCATGCAGAGCAAAGGTCCCCCCATAATGGACAGGACCCCATTGCTCGGAGAAAGGTGCTCGGAATGGGGAAAAAAAAAAAAGGTAGGTTTGTTACCGGCACCGAGACAACGGTAACGGAGGTCAGCACTGACTATACAACCGCAAGGTGAGGAGGTCACTGTCCACACGCAGGAATATTTCCATTAAAGGCCATCCCTTTTGGGGTTTTTTTCCTCTAGGTGTCAGAGAATGGTCTGGGCATCAGTGGCAGGGCAGCCGGTAACTATTACAAGGCAATGAGCATAAAAAGTGTCAACGCAAAAGGTTAAAAGGGGCTGGTCGTGCACGTCTCCCCCACCCGTGTCGCTGAACGTCAAGTAGCAGCTGGAGGAGTGTCCGGCCGGGCCCGGTGAGTGAAGCTGGCCATGCCCATCTGCGAGGCTGACCCACCGAGTGTCTGTGTGAGCACAGGTGGTAATAGGTGGGTGTCGGAGAGGTCCAGTCTGAGTATTTTAGTCATTGAGACCTGTTCTGCTGCCGGCAGGCCGTCACTCTTTTTCCATATCCCCTGCGGCAGCTCCACTGTGTTGTGGTCGGTTGTCGGGGTGGGTTCCCTCGAATCGTTGAGAGGCAATGGCGGCCTGGTGAGACATGCTCTTTCTCACGACGTCCCCTTTACGCCATAACACCACCTCCTGCAAGAGGGTGAGCAGGAAAAAGGTTAGTGGTCAGCAAAAAGAGAAAACCATCCAGGGAAGGAGGGCAAGAGATATACACGACAAAGATGGAGGGAGGCAACAGGAAGAATGAAGCAAGGGGTAGGGAAGGAGGGAGGCAGAGAGAGAGAGTGGGAGAAAAGTTGGAAAGGGGACAGGAGAGAGAGAGAGCTGAAGATGGAAATAGTGAGTGAGCTTAAGAGAAAGAGCGCAAGAGCGAGATGGAGAGAGAGAGCGCAAGAGCGAGCTGGAGATGGAGAGAGAGCGCAAGAGCGAGCTGGAGATGGAGAGAGAGCGCAAGAGCGAGCTGGAGATGGAGAGAGAGCGCAAGAGCGAGCTGGAGATAAACGGGAGAGAGATGGAGAGAGCGCAAGAAAGAGCTGGGGAGAGCGAGGGAAATGGAGAGAGCAAGAGAGGGCTAGAAGAAATGGAGAGAGGGAGCGCAAAAGAAAGCTAAAGATGGAGAGAGAGAGAGAAGAGCTGGATATAAAGGAGAGAAAGAAAGGGCTAGAGATAGAGAGC